CAGTTCACATATACTTTGTCTCATGTCATTGACCAAAATTTACAATGCAGCAGCTCCCCTCCCACTTCCTCCCCAGTTACCTCCTCCCAGTGTCCATCCCTTCACATTTTTGAATACACTTACCTCAGCTGTGTGCTTTGCCACATGGCCCATGATGACAATGACCTTCCCTTTGAAGCTCTGGAGCACAGCAGTGCAAGGACCCTGGTTAAACTCCCCTTCTGCTGTAAATGCAGTGCTGAATGGAATATTGATGCTTCCTGAAATGTGTCCACGAATAAAACTTAGGATAGTTTAAGGAAAATTTCATTTGTGTGCATACTTGAGTTTATAAGAATAACACACAGAGGTAAGTGACTCCCAAATGAGAGTCCTATTGAATATCTTCCACGTTCAAGCACAAGAGTATTTTATCTAAATGAAGCAAGGCACCACTAAGGAAAAAAATGAAAATGGAGAGTAAAAGGGAAAATAAAATTAATCAATATATGACCTTCTTGATCAAATAAGGAATTGTGAAAGATGGGCAAAAGTCAATGATAATCACATGGGTTGAACAATTCATGCTTTTCAGTTCATTACTACTACTACTATTATATTAAAACTCTGCAAGTGATGCAAGCAAGTGGATGTTCTCATGTCTAACTTAAAACTACAAAGGCCTAGCCATGTTGTGAAAGTAATTGCTATACAGAATTGTTAGAGATTAAGCATTGGTGGGAAATTCTTCTGTTGTAGATTTATTTTTCAAGTAACTGTGGCTGCCATTTCCATTCTTCTTGAAGGGTATACCTGTATGTGATTTTCCAATAAGTTATATCAATTTGACAAAAACAGGGAAGACTCCCCTGAGAAAGTAATGGCTGAGTTAAAATTTGATGAATTAATAAAAGTTAATTAGGCAGAGGGATGGAATGGAGGTAGGGTAGTATGGTGAAAGGGATAAACATTCCAGGCAAAAACGTTAGGCCTCCAGTGAGAAGTAATATGACCAGTTAGAAGAAATGAAGGACAGCTAGTGTTAGTGGAATTTAGAGAACAAGGAGGAGCATGGGATAAGATAAGGATCTATCAGACCAGTACCAGGTATTTTTTTTTATGATTTTGAGTTTTTTTCATATTTTTTTCCTTCTCTATACAGGATCTCCAATTTTGATCCCTTTCCAAGTGGCTGGTACTGGCAGCCAAACATCATCTAGTTCTTATGGTCTCAGGATCATATAGGTTGGGGTTATCATGGTACTTTGGACTAACTGTTTCCATGTGTCTCTTTCTTCATTCCTCTTTGCTCTGGATAAGGAGAGACCAATAGTTGCCACTTAGATGGCTGCTTGTAAGCTTTTTAAGACTCCAGTCGTTACTCACTGAAGTAAGATGTAGAACAATATTTTTGTATACCATACAGTGCCAACTGAGCTTGATGTCCTCTGCAACCGTGGTCTCCAGCCCACAGCCCAATGACCCATTTCCTTAAGGTGCTTATTTGCCTTCCACCTTCTTTGATGGTTCCTGCATCATTCAATATTTTGTCCATAAAATCCTTCCGTATCGCAACTCAAGACTTGAAATTTTTCTTCAGTTTTCTCAGCTTGAAAAATGCCAAATGTTTTCTTCCCTTTTGGTTTTCTAATTCCAGGTCTTTGAACATTTCATTGTAATACTTTACTTTGTCTTCAAGAGCTGCCCTTTGAAATCATCTGTTCAGCTCTTTTATTTCATCATTTCTTCCTTCCCTTGGTTTTAGATATTCTCTGTTCAAGAACAAGTTTAAGAGTCTCTTCTAACATCCATTTTGGTATTTTCTTCCTTTCTTGTCTTTTTAATGATCTTTTGCTTTCTTCACTTCTGATGTTCTTGATGTCGTCCAACAACTCATCTGGTTTTCAGTCATTGGTATTCAATGGTCAAATCTATTCTTCAGATGGTCTTTAAATTCATATGGGATATAGCAAGGCCAAATGTTGTTTGGGTCTCATGGCATTAACTTTCTTCAGTTTCAACATGAACTTGCATAGGAGCAATTGATGGTCTATTTAATAGTCAGCTCCTGGCCTTGCTTTTACTGATGATATTAACTTTCTCCCTTGTCTCTTTCTACAGATGTAGTTGATTTGACTGCTGTGTATTCCATCTGGCTAGGTCTATGTGTATAGTTGTTGAAAAAATGTATTTACAGTGAATAAGTCATTGCTCTTGAAAAATTCTATCATGTGATCTCCACCACTCATCTGTCAGTTTGTCATACTGTGGTGGCATAGTTTTGGGGTGAGGCTGGAAGCTATGCCACCAGTATTCCAAATGCCACCAGGTGGACAGGTTTCAGCAGAGCTTCCAGATTAAGATAGACTGGGAAGAAGGAAGGAGCCATCCACTTCTCAAAAAAAATTGGCTACTGAAAACCTTATGAATAGCAGTGAAACACTGTCTGAATGGTTGACAGAAAAGACTCTGAAACTTGCCCTTGAGTGGAGAGTAACTAAAGCAAATGGAAGAAATGACAAGATAAAAGAGCTGAACAGAATATTTCAATGAGCAGCTCAAGGAGACAAAGCCAATTACTATAAAGAAATGTGCAAACACTTGGAGTTAGAAAACCAAAAAAGAAGAATACGCTCGGCATTTCTCAAGCTGAAAGAACCGAGGAAAAAATTTAAGCTGCCAGCTGCAATATTGAAAGATTTTATGGGCAAAATATTGAATGATGTAGGAAGCATCAAGAGAAGATGGAAGGAATACACAGAGTCACTGTACCAAAAAGAACTGGTCGATGTTCATCCATTTCAGGAGGTGGCATATGATCAAGAACCAATAGTAC